CTCTGTTATGCCTAAGCATTATGGGCCAACTTAACATTATTGGCTTACATTCTACTTAATACTAAGGAGTAGTATATCATAGTTGTACAGTAGGAAAGTAATTATTTCATAGTTGTACGGTAGAATATTAATTAGAAATGAATCAAAATTTGTATAATACAAAGATATATGTATTTTGATTCTAAAATGCTTTTGTGAAAAACGATGATTCAATTATATTCCTGTCAATGGATAAAAGGTTCAATGTGATTGTTTGAGTTATGATGTGGTAGTACATAGGTGAGTAAATGTGTACTGAGTATTTAGCATTTAGTCTAGGGTGATTAAGTGGCTTTTGAGAAGAGTCTTAAATTGATTTTCAGACTGGGTTACTTTAATATCTTCTGGTAATGAATTCCATATTTTGGGGCCCTTTATGTGCATAGAGTTTTTACACAGTGTTATATGGACATGAGGTATATCAAAAAGAGATCTGTGTCTTGTGTTGTGGTTATGTGTCCTGTTTAGGTTGGTGAGGAAAAGTTCGAGTGGGGCGTTTACATTTGCGAGTATTTCTCTGTGTATGTAGTAGGCACATGAATAAGTATGAATGTTCTTAATGGTAAGTAGATTCAGAATTTTGAAAATTGGTGGAGTATGCTGGCGGGAGTGGGAATTTATCATTCTTACTGCTGCCTTTTGCTGGGGTATTAGGGGTTTTAGGTGATTGGATGTTGTTGATCCCCATGCACAAATTCCATATGTAAGATAAGGGTATATGAGTGAATGGTACAGTGCCAGGAGAGCTGATTGTGGAACGTAGTACCTTATCTTTGATAGTATGTCTACAGTCTTGGAGATTTTCTTAGTGATTTGTTGTATGTGTGTCCGGAACATAAGGCTACTGTCAAGGTGGATATCTAGGAATTTTCCCTCTGTGAGTCTTGTGACTGATCATCCACTTAGCGTAATGTTAATTGGATCATTTGCAGCTTTGTTTCCAAACTGAATGAAATAGGTTTTATCAGTGTTCAGAGTAAGTTTGTTAGTTATCATCCAGGCAGATATTTTCTGTAATTCAGCATTGACTGTGTTTGCTAGTATGACTGGGTGGGAAAATACATATGTAGTGTCATCTGCAAATAATATAGGTTTGAGTAGCTGTGATGAATTCGGTAGATCATTGGTGTAGATGAGAAAGAGGAGTGGTCCAAGGACGCTTCCTTGTGGGACTCCTACTGTGATTGGTTGGGTGGAAGAGTTTGCATCATTTGCCTACACATATTGAGTTCTGTTACTAAGGTATGACTTTAGGTAGTTGAGGGAGTGGCCTCTGATACCATAGTGCATTAATTTGGAGTTCAGTAGTTCATGGTCGACTGTATCGAAAGCTTTACGTAAATCAATGAAAATGCCCAGCGGGACTTATTTCTTTTCAAGTGCGGTATATATTAGTTCTAGCCATGTGTATGATAGCGTCATTTGTGCTTTTATTATTCCTGAATCCAAACTGACAAGGGTTTAATATGTTGTGTGAAACGAGGTAGGAATAGATCCGTCTATGAATTAATTTTTCAAAGATTTTAGAGAGCAGTGGTAAGTTAGATATTGGTCTATAGTTATTCAAGTTAGTTTGGTCACCTCCTTTATGGATCGGAGTGACCCTCGCTATTTTGAGGATTGTTGGGAAGGTAGTTGATTCAATGAATTTGTTAAAGAGCGTTGCAATAATTGGTGACAATATTTGAGAAGCTTTTTTGTACATAAAAGCAGGCAAGTTGTTTATGTTTCCTGCCTTGTTTTTAAGGGTGTTTATGATGAGAATAACTTCAGTGGGGTTGGTTGGAGCTAGGAATAGCGTATTTGGGTAGGTTCCTACGAGGTAGCCTGATGGACGGGCGTTTGTGCTTGGTATTTTGTTTGCTAGATTTTTTCCTATGGTGGAGAAGAAAACATTAAGTCTGTTTGCTGTTTCGGTTGGAGTGAGTAGGGGTTCATCTGGTTTTGTTAGTTTGATTGCTTTGTTTTTGGATAACGTTTTAATTCCAAGAATTTCAGATAGTTTTCCAGATTTTTTTCATATCACCTTTGATGTTATGTAATCTATTTTCATAATACAATTCTTTTGACCTTCTTATCAGGCTGGTAAGTGCTGACGAGTAATTTTTCGACTGTTCTCTAGTTATTTGACCCATTCTATACTGTTTTTCATATTTGTGCTTTGTGTTAATGGATTTGAGGATGCTTGGTGTTAGCCAGGGATTATTCAGTCTCTTTGCTGTGATCTGTTTAGTTTTTCTGGGGCAATGTCTGTTATAGAGGCATTGGACTTTTTTTTAGAAAGTTATTTATACATTCATTCATATCTCTATATGTTTCAAGCTCATTTTGCCAATCGATGTTATTCATAGCTGCTATAAAGTTGTTAACTGCTGTCTCGTTATGTAGTCTGAAGGTTACTTTAGTAATGTCTTGTGGCAGTTTGCCCAGATTAGTTATGAGAAAGGTTGAGTAGTGGTCTGTAGTGTTGTCTGTGATTATGCCTGATTTTAAAGGGGATAAGTCTGCCCGAAATGCCTAGCCATGCTAGGCGTTCTAGTGGTAAACTCTGTAATCATTATTTAACTACATGTAAACCACACAACAACCAAATTCTGTAAATTCAACATTGTAATCTTTATAGAGAATAAACTTTGAATTGAATTGAATTGATATGGTGTTTGTCCTGATGTGGCCTATTAAGGAGATGCTTGTCTCGGAGATTCTTGTAGGTTTAGATATTGTGGAAATATAAACACATATGCAGTATAATGTGATCCTTTATTGACAGCGTTTCACCCACAGTGGGCTTTTTCAAGTCACACACAGATCTACCTGGGGTGGAAGGTACGGGAGTATTTATAGTCATGTTCAGAATGTTGAGGTCAGGTGGAGAATGCTGCATCTGATGATCTACCGGGTGGAGTTATAGAGTCTTGGGTAGCTTGGCAGGGGTATTGGACAAGTTGTCCAATAAACGTTGTCAATAAAGGATCACATTATACTGCATATGTGTTTATATTTCCACTGTGTCGGTATTTGATACCATTTATTTACAGGTTTAGATATTGCTGGTAGCAACAGGCAGTTACTCATTGTGTTTGTGAATTCGGTTACTTGTGGGTCTTTGTCGTGTAATATGTTTATGTTGAAATCACCTGTTAGTAGGTGGTCTTTATTCATGTGTGCATCAGTAATCATGTTTCCTAGTTTTTCACTACAGTGATAAATGTTTGACTGTGGTACTCTGTAGATGTTTATAACTGTGAGGGGTTTTTGCAGGTCTTTTGATTTAAATTTGGCTATGATATATTCTCAATGTTCGTCCCTTGTACAAGATTTATTGATACATTCAAGTTGATTTGAATAGTATATAGCTGTTCCTCCCCCTTGCTGGTCTGTTCTACAGTTGTGTATAGCCATGTAGCCAGGAATGGTATAGAAATCTGTAATATCAGGCTTAAGCCAGGTTTCTGTGAGCGTGATGATTGATATATTGGAATGAAGGGAACAGTAATGCTGTGAGGTCATCATAATGTTTGTTCAAGGATCTGACATTGTAGTTAAAGATGTTATGTTACTGTTTGTACTGAGTAATGTCTTTGCTTGGTTTGCTGTGTAGTAATTGCAGTTACTGGTTGATTCGTGTAATTCATTTTGTAAAAAGTTTACATCAGGATCTATGCCTGTAATCTTAGGATGAGAGTAATTTTACAAACTAGATTTTCTGAGTAAAATGATATAAGATATATATTGACTCTACAACTAGACTTAGAGGTCTCATAGGTAAAGCACTTATGGTGTACTTAGATGACGTAATTGTCATGTCTAAAGACGTGGATACACACTTGAAAAGACTTGATGTGGTACTTGGTAAGCTTGAAGAAGCCAATTTAAAGATCAAACTGTCTAAATGTCAGTTTTTCAGATCAGAAATCAAGTTTCTTGGTCACGTAGTCACTCCTAGAGGGGTTACGACTGACCAAAGTAAAGTAACTGGTACTACTGGGAACTGATACTACTGAGAACTGTCTGTGGAAGACAGTTGGCTGTGCACGGGAGACAGGTAACAGTTGACTGTGCACGGGAGACAGGTGGCTGTGCACCGGAGACAGGTGGCCATGCACAGGAGACGGGAGAAACACAAGGGGCACCAGGTGGCATCTTAGTCGTCCACCTTGAGGAACTCTACTGAAGGAGTTGTCCTGCTCTATTTCCTGTCCTTGAAGGATCCTGAATTGCCTTTCCTTACCCATTTCCCTCATCACCCTTCCCCCTTTCCCTTCATCACCCTTTCCCCATCCTTCATCACCCTTTTCCCATCCTTCATCATCCTTTTCTAAGTCTTTACTGCCATTTTTCCTATGTACAGTATTTCCACTGCATGATAATAATTTCAAAAATTTCTAGCCCTCTTATTTAAAACTAAATCTTAATTTAACATTTAAACATTTCTAGTCTTTTTTAACATTTAATGTCTTTTCAAGCAACTCGTTTAATAAATTAACTGGATCTATCTTATTTTCTAATAAGCTGAGACTCAAGCTTTTCTATAACATGTTAAGCATTTAACTCTTTATTGCTTTTAACATTGTTGACCATTTTTTTTTTTTGTATTAACGTTTACGTTCCGACTTACTCGTTCACTTCTGTTATGTCCGCTAGGCGTCACTGTTTGGCATTTGTATTTCTACATTGATTTCGAGTTTAAAGAATTACCCAGTGGCTTTTATTGTTTGACCCATGTTTACATAATAAATAGGTATCTAGTGGTAATTAGGTACCTAGCAGTAATTGGGTACCTAGCAATAATTAGGTACCTAGTAGTAATTAGATAATTAGTAGTAATTATGTACCTAGTAGTAATTACGTACCTGGGTGTTTGTTGTATGTCAGTCTACGAAAACCCCGATGAAAAAAAAATCCATACTGCTTGTCTTGTTGAGTTATCCTGAATTAAAAATACTTTTTTTTTTAACTAGCTCCTGGTGCCACAGATTGAAGATGGTGAGCCTGCAGATGGTGGCTGCGGCTGCGGTGGTGACTGTGGTGGTGTGTGGAGGCTGGTGCGGTTGTGAGAACCTACCACAGGAACTGCCACAGAACACCACAACCGGGGAGCCACAGCGGGGCAGTCGCTCCTCTAGCAGGAGAACAGCGACTTCCATCCCAGCGTTCGTCTTGGCCAACGTCTCCAGCAAGCAACAGCCTGAGACACCTGTATGTTAAGGGATTATTCTCTCTCTCCTCTTCTCTCTCTCTCTCTATATATATTATATATATATATATATTATATAATATTATATATATATTATATAATATATATATATATATATATATATATATTATATATATATATTATATATAATGTCGTGCCGAATAGGTAAAACTGGTCAATTAGCAACAACTCATTTAAAATTAAGTCCTTTCTAAAATTTTTCTCTTATACGTTTAAAGATATATTTAACGTACTTAGATACCAGTACTAATATTTCAAGAAAAATAATTTAACTTTTCTCGTCGTAACTATACTCCATCAGATTAAAAATATAATTCGAAAAATTTAAACGAAAGCTAAAGTTTAAAATATAAATTTCGAAGTTAAGTAAGAACCCTAAAAACAAAACTCCAGTGACCGTGCCATGATGCAGTTAGTTTAATATGTTTATTATGCACCCCATACCCATCCTGTGGGCGGTAGTCAAAAGATTACAGAGGTACATAATGGGTCCAGGGACTGGGCCTCAAAGTTTTGATAGCTGAGCAAGTTACAGAGCAGTGAAGGTTTTCCTGAAGTGTGCACCGCCAAGCTCACTTCTGGAAGTGCACTCGGTGGAGAGTTGAATTTATGTACGTGTGTGTGTGTGTGTGTGTGTGTGTGTGTGTGTGTGTGTGTGTGTGGTGTGTGTGTGTGTGTGTGTGTGTGTGTGCGTGTGCGCGAGCGTGAGTGTGTCGGATTACCAATTTTTTCTGCCTATTTGTAGATCTGGTAGCTTGCTGTGTCGTATTTTCGTCATTTTATTTATCAAAATTGATTTCACAACAACTGAATTTAGCATATATTAAGTGTGTAATTAACTGTTTGTATTTGTTTTACCTAATGTGATCTTGCAACCCGTTTGTATATTTTGGCGCTTCATTTACTTCTGAAATGTGTCAGCTCATTGCAGGTGTACACCAACGTAGTTTACCTGACATGTGTACAAACAGGTAGGGGATGTAACAGGTGTACATGACATGTGATCTGATCTTTCTTTTTCAGGCAGAGAATGTGATCGGAAAGAGTCCTTGCCCGCGGGGTACACGAGGACAGGCCTGCAGGTGGGAACTGGCCCGCAATGCACTCTCCTGTACCTCAGGTATTGTTCACTGTACTTCCTCCTGCGTCTCTCCCACACCTTCCCTTCCTTCTTCCCCTCCTACTGCTTATTCCCCCTCTTCCTTTACCATTCCTCGACTTATTCTCTTCCTTTACCATTCCTCGACTTATTCTCTTCCTCCTTCCTCTCCTACTTATTCCCATTATTATTCACCATCCCTCCCCTCATCTCCCGTCTCATTTCCACCTTTCCTCCCTCCACCTACACCACCATTTACATACATTTTAAAAATAACCCCGACATATTCATTTTCTATATTTCTGACTATCCTACGTAAAATTTAAATAAAAAACGATACACAAATTTATCTACCAAAATGGTGCATATTATACAGTACAAGAGATTACATGATTTAAGGATACATATATATATATTTCGGGCAGATTTAAATGTAAAACTTTTATGAACATTGCTAGTTTATCTTTAAGAACAGTGTGCTTAAGACCCACAAAAATGTTTAGAGCCCAGTGTTTAGGGCTCAAAAAATCATAGATGACTAATAAATAATAAACAGCCAAATTAATATTTGCTAGAAAGTTTTGAAAATCTTATTTTTGTTCATTATTCTTCCCCTCCCATATAATTATATTATGTTACTTTTGTATATTGATTCGTAACCTGATCTTCACAGATTTCCACTCGTGGACTGAGATAGTTTCCGTTCCATAGAGTGTATTTTATGCATTTTTATGCCATAGTAATATATTAAAGAAATGTAACCGGTATAATATTATACATTTTTTTAACTGTCTCCTATCCTGTATAAAGATACGAACACAACAGAATTATAAAAGAGAGAACAAACGTTACTTGAAATTGATAAGAGAAAAAATTCGTGTCTGGACCTCATATCTGGAGGTAAAATTATGTACAAAAGTGAGATGACGACAATCTAGATATGTACAAGTAACACTGAATGTTGGAAACTAGCGAGTCTATTGCACCAGAGGCTTGACCCAGACATTTACAGATCTCTCCTCACATGCAGTTACTCTGGCCCTTATAATAAAGGTTAACGTTACAAAAATAGTCATTACTCATTTGATCATATTTTGCACCATTTTTTTTTTTTTTTAGATTTGGGAGTTTATTGCAAGGCACCCAGTTTTTTTTTTTTTTTTTTTGAGTTGTTCTCAAGTACACTACGTGTACATCAATCAGTGCATCATCATTCAACAGATAATGACCATGGGATGACAAGGCCACCACCAACACCACTGTTATCTCCAGAAAAAGAAAAATGAAGCTGATTAAGTAGCTTTGAACATGTCTCGGTCAACGAACCATCCAAAGTATTCTTGTGAAACACTCGGGTCTCAGATAATGGTAATCTCGCCACCATAGTAAAGTTTTGTAATAGATATAAATATTCATTTAACAGAAGCCTGGCCGATACTCACGAAAAAAGTGATTGATACTATCTGGTTAATTTAATGCGGTAAGAAATAACGGAAAGTGAGTAGGTTGCAAGGCGGAACTTTAACGAAGTTGCCGTTAAGATGTACCTTGGCAGACTTATTGTAGCCAGTTGTCCCAATGGCTAATGCGTCGGTCTGGAGTTTTACGACTCACTGTGCGTTCAATCCCCGTCCGTACCGGGGTTTGTGTGCAATCGTGTCATTACGATTTCTTGAGTCAGTTACAAGATGTTAGCTTGTAAGACGCAAGACTATCAGACTGTTAGGCAAACTTCATTTTTTCGCTCTTACTCGTGTGTAATACTCTACACTTTATAACTGGCAAACACTGCTTGTAATAGCACTGGCGACCTTTCAAAATTAATTTTGATACTAGCCAGTAAATTGTTTAACTGGAGGTATTTAGCAACTCATTAGCACATCCTTATAACTGCTTCAGAAACACATTACCTAAGTGGAGAGAAATTGCTATTGGGCCATAGGTGCTGAGTCCCTCGGCCTCTTCAAGGCTGAGGGACTGAAACACCACCTTTAAAGGACTGAGGGACTTATCACCTCATCTTCCACTGTCTTCGGTTTATATTCTTTGTACTGAATTAGAAAAGCCATTGTAGGATGGAACGTCTTCACAGTAAAGAAACCATCCACTAGGAATTTTTATTGACCTAAGAAAAGCGTTTGACACAGTAGACCACGGCATCCTACTCCATAAACTTGACCACTATGGTATAACAGGCCATCGCTTGCATATTTTAAATCCTACCTTTCTAATAGGTATCAGTATGTCACCATTAAAGACACAGCCTCATCAATACGGCCACTTGATACTGGAGTTCCGCAGGGAAGTGTCCTTGGACCCCTGCTCTTCCTCATTTACATCAATGATCTTCCAAACATATCCTAACACCTGAAACCCATTCTCTTTGCTGACGACACGACTTATGTCATCTCCCACCCTAATCTTGCCACCTTCAACACCATTGTTAACGAGGAGCTGCTCAAAATATCGACTTGGATGACAGCCAATAAACTTACACTTAACACTGGCAAAACCTACTATATTATGTTTGGTAGCAGAGCAGGTGTTGCGCAACTTAACATTA